ATGTAGAGAAGACTATAAGATTTTCTATGGAGAGAGTAGTTGTTTTTCTAAAGGGAAGGAGCTGGGAATCTGACTTCAAATGAGGTAAATTTGTGGGTATACAACCCAGTGTAGTCATATACAGCCCTAACAACTTGAAATTCTTGATAATGTTTTTGACAGTAGGTCCTTTGTTTACATGTTGCCGTGAACTTGGTAAGGACACCATTTGAGAACTTGATGTATGCTTCTTCCACTTGGTAAGTTTTGCAAGATGTGACCTGACTCATACCTGACAAAGTTGGCTTGTGACAACTGAAATGAGGGGACTGGACTGCCCTGTCCCCTGTGGTCAGCATGCCTCCCAGAGTTTGTCAAATCATAAAAAGTGGATGCTTATGAAAATATGCATTGTCCTCCTTATTAGCACTGCGCTGAGGTGCTCAGGTATGGGAATCTCTAAAAAGCCACACTCTCTGTGGAGTCAGAGAACAGGAAGGAGTAAGAAACAAACAGCTTGGGTAAGACCTCTCCTAGAACTTTACCATCCTTGAAGAATAAGCACTGACTAGCAGCCTGGGGGAATTTTAGAGTGGACAGAAGAAATGTGAAAAACAAAAAAGATGCTTAAGACAGGAAAATCAAGAAAGCAATGATACCCTTCCCCAACCTAGGCTGCCAACCTAAAGTAGGCGTAACTTACAGAAGAGGATAAAATTTGATATTACATTACATTCAGAATTTTGATTGATAATGTAAATTGTATTATTAATTAATTATTAATCCAATTTCTGGATTACAAGGTGACTTAAGTCAAATAAGCAAAACCTCATGCATACCATATTTTTCATTTAAAAGTAATAAAAGAAGTAGAGTCTCTTTCAAGGCATTTTGTAGGGTTAATAAATGTCATAGGCTGAATTTTGCCCTCCTCAAAATTCATATGTTAAATTCCTTAGTAACTGCTGGCCCTCAGAATGTGACTATATTTGGAGATACAGTCTTTAAAGAGATAAATAAGGCAAAATGAGATAATTAGGTTGTCCCTTCTCTGATATGACTGGTGTCCTTTAAGAGGAAGGGGGGGAGGGTTGAAGACATGGGGAAGTTGCCCATCTATGAGACAGGATGAGAGAGAGACTTCAGAAGGAAATAACTCTACTGATATCTAGATCTTGAGACTTTCAACTTCCAAAATGTTAAGAAATATTTTTTTCCCCTTAGGCTACCCATTCTATGATATTTTTTTCTGGTAACCCCAGAAAACTAATACATTAGGAGACAAGAAAAATTGAGTGGTTATGGCAATAGAAGTAATTTTGGAAGGCATATTAATCAAGCAGTTCCACAAAATTGGGAACACAGAATCTGTCTTCTCTAACAAAACAACTGAAATTAAAAGAACTGCATAAAAAAAGTCCTTTTAAGTGGTTATAAACCCAGTTTAAGTGGCAGACTACATAGCAACATATGCAATACTAGATTGCTTAATAAAAATGTTGTGTATTTAGACAATATGAAACACAGTATATAAAACAGAATATTCAAATCACCTTAAACTGTACTTTATTTAAAGAAATTGACTTATTCTTTGCAATGGTGTAAGTTGGTATATATTTATAGGGACACTAATTAAACAGTAAAACAAAAGGGCAAATTTATGTTTATATTTTATATTTATTTACATATGTATATAAATAAGTTTTTTTATGTTTATACAAAGAGTATTACATGTGATTTCTTACTCAGGTAGGTGCCCCATTAATGTTAACTTCCTATTTTCAGTTGTATAATATAAGGAAAGACAGATTATTTAATTCTGCTTCTAGTCACCTTAGATTAGAGTGAGTGGTCTCTGATCAATCAATGATATTTAAAGTTGATTTAAAGATGCAATAGAGCAACTAAAAATAAATGTTAAGTCCTTGGTTTGTATGACTCAGTTCTGGCTTTAGTAAGAATAAGTATCGATTACCAATGATAAAGCAATTTGGGTGGTAAGAGAAAAGGAATAGTTTCCTTTTGGGGGGGGGTGAGATTGTACAGTGAGACTTCACTAATGAAAGAAACCAATCACAGTTGCCAACAGGTGTGGAAGTTTGCTCTAAAGTGCTTCATAAGATAAAATATTTTAAAGCCAAATTCTTATGTCATGGTGGAGCATAGAGGTTCAACTACAGTAGCAGGAGAGCCGACTGGGCGGGTTCTGAACTGGGATTCACACATACTAGGAATACTGAGACAACAGGCCCTGTGTATGGAGAACAGTTGCTTCTCACAAAACCTAGCAACAAATTTGAGGTTGTCTCCAAGGTATGAGGAACTCAGAAGTGGTGAATCTAGAGGGACAAAATATGTGGGATGTTACTAGTTGAAAGTTTCAGGAAAGTCTGTCATCAGGATTAAAACCATTTCCTCAGGACTGTGGGCATGGCCAGACTGAGCAAACCCTGCAACTTATTGAGTACTGGATATATCATCAAAGCAGGGATCCACATACCAGTTCACACCTGAGAATAGCTCCAAGATTGGAATAATAACAAATATTAGTTACTGAATGCTTTCCATGTACCGGGACCTTGCAAGCATTCTGTGTGTATTGTTTCACTACATCCAAAGTTGAATCCCATGAATCTTTACAGTCAGGGTCATTTAAAAAACACAAAAATGGCAATTATAATTAAAAAGACAATCAAAAATAAAGAACTCAGATCAAACCTTATCATTTCAAGATCAAATCAAGAAGGAGAGTTATATACTAACATGCACTGACTATTAATATAGAGGGTAAAATATCCATCACAGAAACAATCAAACATAAAAATGAGATACGAAACCAAATTATTCTCAGTTATGAAACCAAATTATTCTCAATTTTATAGGAAATAATGCCAGGGGAAAAAAACTAAATTATTAGTTATAGATTTATATTTTTCATAAAAGCTACTTATATGCCAAGTATTTCACCAATGGTAAATTTTCTTTCAATTTCAAACGACTAAGAAAGATAATTTCAGGTAGATGATTGATAGATAGATAGATAGATAGATAGATAGATAGATAGATAGATAGATAGAGGCTGAGAAAACATTTTACAAACATATCATTCTTGAATGTAAATTACTTTAGATAGCTACTAGTTCACCAAAGAATGCATCAAAATTAGAATTTGGGAACAAAGAATCTGACAGACTGCTCTAGAGATATCTCAAAAGGTAGTTTCCAAATTATCACAGAGGCTTGAAGATAATCCATGCTGAGACCAGTATTATGCATGTTATAAGAGACTTGAATGTGGGTGGTCTGAGGTCTCTTTTTATGGTGTCATGTCTATACAATTAAATGACAGCAATTTCAATGTGGAAGGTTTTCCTTTAGTATTGAAATAATGCTACAATGAGCAAAATTTTTTCTCTAGATCTTTCCCTCAGTTTATGATTCACTACTAGACTCAATTATTTAATTAAATAATATTATAATTGTGTTTTTAAAAATAATGTTTGAGAAGAATACAGGCTTATCTTTGATTTTTTTTTTCTTTTATTGTTCTTCTGGTTACTTGATGTTTTTCATTAAAATATGAACATGATGAAGTAATAAAGATGGGACTTTTCTAAATTACATACATGAAATCTATGATATATTTATGTAATCTATTAAGTTAGCATAACATACTTCTCAAATGTTTATTCTGTTGAATAAAATGTATAACTTTGAAAAATCTTTTTTTCAGAGGTGGACTTAATCTTTTTTCAAGGTTGTTCATGGTAACAGTCTGGACTTGTAGCTTCCTCTCACAACTTCTTGTGACTTTCCGAGAAACTGAGTAGCAATATGTGGAGGGAATCCTTCCAAGATCACTTGTTCAGTTTATAGACAAAGGATCTGAAGTTGACGAATTGTTCCTAGTGCTGACTTCCTCAAATTTCTTCAGTCTGCCCTGAGATGACCTTTTCCATTACACTCCCTCTGGCATTGCCAAGAAAAAAGAAAGAAATCCACCCAACACTGAACCACACTTACCATAACAAAAGGAAGAAAACAAATTTTATGATTATTTCATAATAAGCTTCATGAAACTTTAATAGCCAATGTTATAAATAAATTAACTGCACTAAGCACAAACTAACAAAAATTATTATAGTTTCTATTTGAATCCTCTAACAATGAGGCCAGGATGCATGTTGGCATTTTCTGGATTTTTTGAGAACTGATTTAGTTACCCTTAGCAAAAACCATATAAGAAAGATAAGTATTAGACCCTGTTGTTAATGAAATCTTTGAAGAAGATAATCCTATAACCATCAGAAATCCATTGACAAGCTAGGTGTCATGGTGCAGCCTGTAAACTCAGTGGCTCAGGAGGCTGAGGCAGGAGGATCATAAGTTCAAAGCCAACCTCAGCAACTAGTGAGACCCTAAGCAATTTAGCATGACTTTGTCTCAAAATAAACAATACAAAGGGCTGGGGAATGTGGCTCAGTGGCTAAGCACCCTAGGGGTCCAATTCCCAGTAGGAAAACAAAACAAACAAACAAGAAACCCACAAACAATATTTAATAAAATTCACACAATGTTTTATGTTATGGAAAGAAAGATTTATATTTCTAGATTAAAAAAATACCATTCTCTAGAGTTGAATTGGCCATAACGTGGTAGGAACAAGGACTGCTCTTTATTGAGCTCCACACAGTTTACAAAGTTTGTTTTATTTAATCTTTTGTGAATTTTGTAACAAAAATAGTATATAGGACATAAGGTGACAGCAAATAATAAGTGTTTATTAATTTAATTTGTTAAATTGAGGCTTCACCAAAATCCTATGAAAAAAATGGCATTGTCCCTATTTTGTAGTTGAAGAAAAAGATGGAGATGAACCAGCTTTCTCAAGATCACATAACAGAAATCATTTGAAAACACAAATGTAACTCACGTAACAGTTTTCACATATGGGATCCTATTATGCTGTGACTTTTTTATAAAGTAGATACTATTTTATTGGCTGAATTTTCTATTTTCAGGTATTTTCTTATACAGCTGACAAAGAAATCCGAACTGATGATTTATGCTTGGATGTGTCCAGACTCAATGGACCTGTAATCATGCTAAAGTGCCACCACATGAGAGGAAATCAACTATGGGAATACGATGCTGAGGTAGAGTATTTTCCCTAACTCCTTAATTAATGCTTCAGTTCAGTTACATATTTTTAAAAAGTTAATCCTACTCTTTTGTTTTTCTGCATTGGAAAAATTATATTCCAACCATTCATGCTCATATGTGATGACATTAGGAGGGCATATCATATAAGTAGGCTTTGGTTAAACTGGTCCATTAGTATGAAACATGAAAAATCATTTTTAATGCTTAAAATATGTGATCTCCATGTAAATGTCCAATATAAATTAGGCCAGGGGTGAGCTACACTTATCTGAGAGGTACATATGAAGATGTTCATATAGCACAATTTGACAATATGTTCTTATTTTCAATTTTTAAATTTTGCACCATTGTAATCCCTGATATGTTTACTATTATAAAGAATATGGCAAAGAATTCTTTACTATTTTAACATAGAAAATGTTTTCCAGAATTTGATAAACCAGTTTTTCATATAATAAGCCAATATAGCACACCTTTCTGATAGAGAAGAAAGTAGAGAAAACAACAAAATTCTTGATGGGAATTTATAGCTAGGCAATGTGTAAAAATCAGTTCAGCCATCAGATGGAGCTAATAAAAAAGAAATATTTTATTCAACATAAGGAAGCAGCCTCAGAAACAAATTCATCACTTTCATTTCCCTTTGCTTAGCAAAACGAATTCATCATATGTGTCACATTTTCAACATTATTAATTGGTCACTGATGTATTTTAAAGAAAAACTGAACTTTATTTTACAAGATAAATAATATAGTAGAGATAAATGGGTCTCACAGATGCAGTGTTCCATACAAGCTTAAAATATTCTGCAATAAAAATATTTAAAAACCAATCTATAGAGTTTTCAGTATTATTGATATTTTAAACAAGGTCTTCTTTTGAAAAATTTTTGAATGCCATTTTAATTTGCATGACTTTGTTTCTTAAGATGAATATCAGGAAAACTGACTGAATTTGTAGAGGATTTAAAACTGGTTATATAGGATTAATTCTGGCCTGAAATTTATATAATGTTACTAGTCTCTTGGGACAAAAATTCTTCTGGGACATAATTAAGGACAAACATCCAGATTCCTTTCTGTGTTGTGGCAATGTGTTATATTGATACTCCTTGCCTGTCAGTATCTTATTCACCTTTTTGATTCACCATTCTTTTTATTTTCAACTATTATCTGTTATCACTGTTCTTTATATTAAAGCTAGAGAAGAGTGTTTCCTCTACTAAAAAAGTATCTAAATCTAAACTCTTAATCAGTGCACTATCTCTTCTATGAGGAGAAGTAAAGACAAATGTATAGAAAAAGTAGAAAACCTAAAAGTAGCATTTATTTTTAAATAAAACATTTTATTGTTGATGCTTAGTTTCTTTCAAATACCAGAAATTTGTTTGGCTTGTACCAAAAGTAAGAGACTATAGCATAAATTTATTCAGAAAGGGGAATGATTGTCCATTTTGATAAGATATAGCACAGTCAAATTTCAGAATACCACTTTTAGTCTTCAAACTTTTTTGTACCTCTTGAGTGAACAATAACTTCTATACTTATAACTCAAATTGCTTCATTTCTAAGGTAACTCCTGTTAGTAGTTAAGTATAAACTTTTTTAAAAGGTATATATTCTGTCAGTAACAATGTTATTGAATGCTAAGGAAGTTTATAAGACAAGTAAAAAATGTGGCTTCATCTAAGATAAAAACAAAATTTTCTTTTTTTGAAAATTTACCCTTTTGGATGATTAGCAGTTATCTGTTGTAATATTTCAGAGCACTGTAAAATTTCAAGCCACATTAACTTTGCTTTTAGAATACACACACACAAGCTATATGCTATAAATATTAAGAAATTTCATTTTAACCAAGTAATCTTTTCATGTTAAAAATAAGTATCAGAATTTAATTTACTCTCCTATATGTTTATATGCTTTGAAAATTATGTTGTTCAATTTGTCTAATGTCATCACTTTGCCAAATTTTTAGAAATAAGTAAATCATAATGTAGAGAAATCACCTGAGAATGGAACAATGATAGGAATAATGCCCTGCCTTTTTCAAAATTTCAAGTTTGAAATTTGATTGTATGTGTCAGAAGTCATTTTAAAAAAAAAGATAAGTTTCCAAAAAAATTGAAATAAAACATTTATTTTTCTATAGTTTCCTTTAATTTTAAGTTTCTTGTTCAGAGTCCCTTTAGTCCACCTAATAGTCCCTATACTTGCTACCCAGAGGGTAGTTCTAGGATCAGTGGCATGCATCGCCTGGGAACTTATTAGAAAAATAGAATGTGAGAACTGTGCTTGACACCCTAAGTCCAAATCTCTATATTTTAACAATCTCTATTAAAGTTTGGTCTAGACAGTACCAAATATCTATGAATTTTCCATGGTGTTTTATGTGATGTTGGAAATTATTGCAAACTTAGTGGGGGAAAAAAAACATGAATGCACTTTGGAAAATGCAAGGCTTCCAGGGGGTCTAAGGGAGAGAAAGGAAGCAAAGGGCCAGAGGTGCTGGGATGTGAATGAGTCACTGCTCTGTAGCTCTAGTCTTCAGAGTGGAAAATGGGTGAGAGCTGCTCACCGATTCTTCAGTTCTTTATCCTTTGCTAGCAAGGGCAAAATTATTATTCTTTGAGAAACCTCTGAGGTCATGCAGTTTCAAGGCAGAATAAAAATTGGTGGAGTTCACAGAATTATAGAGCTGAAACGTACCTTAAAGTTCTCTTCTTCCAACCTTTATCAGGAGAAAGCTAAAGCACAAAGATTACCCTGCTAGCAGCAGAGCTAGGATTTAGGTCCTAATAAAGTTTTCAAAGAAGCTAGTTATCAGTACAGTTTTGAATCTTACAGTGTGAACAGCTGAAATATTCCATCACCTTATCTTCTACAGTCCTTTCAGTCTTAGAAAAGAAAGTCATAAATAGGAGCAGAATTGTTGAAATATCCAGAGACAAATGGAAACAGTGTCATGAGCCCTGAAAACATGGAGTCTATCCAGCTGCTTCAGAATAGAGTTAATCGAGTGCTATATAATTTTATCTGTTTTTTTATACAATTGAATGGTCTTATAAGATTGAGCTTCTTATTCTCTGTGTTTATCATATTAATAAATTGGAGCATAGAATAAATATTGGCTAAGTTTGCACACTCAGATTTCTGGTATTTAATCTAGCAATTTTTCTACTGTACTACATTACTTCTCAAGGTAATTGAAAAACTATAAATAATTAGAGGCTCCCAATGGTGAAGATCTAATAAGCTAAATGTACAGTATTATAAATAAGATAATCAAATGTTAACAGTTATTTGCAGTACCAAATTTTGTTCACATAAGATTTCTCCTTTTCTTAATAATAGGAAAATTATTCTTCAATAAATATCGTCTATTTAGATAAACAGTCATGAAACTACTCTGACACTGTGGTCTAATGCTCGCACACTTTAGTTACTCATATTCTGAATATAATTAATGCTCAGTTGCTTTTCCTTTCAATTAAATGGAAATAAGCTTGTGTTTATAATAAATGCATACTGCTGATTTACTCTGATTTGAAATATAGAATTTCTCACTTTCCTAACTCAACATTTCTCTTTTGTTGTTGTTTTTTTCTGGTATTTTGTGGTTCTGGAGATTCAAATCCAGGGCTTTACACATGCTAGGCAAATACTGTACCACTGAACTACATAGTCAGCCAATAACTAAATATTTCTTAAATAGCACAATTATAAACTTAACTTGCTGTCTGTCACTTTTTACCTGGTCTAATTTGTTTGATTTGGAGGCAACCTGAGCATCATTAGCAAAGTTGTGGAATATCCACCTGGTCTATAATCCCTTGAATAAATTACCAGTCAAACACTTCAGTGCCATGAAATGCATATTGTCACAGAGTCAAACAAAAGAGAAAAGCTAAATTGAATCTAACAGAGAAATATTTGTTTATTAATGGTGCTGGGGACACTGAAGTGATTTTTAAAATTATTTTTATAAAAGTCTGTTGCTCATCCATTCTAATTTATTCAAATTTTCTTATAGGCTGTTGCACATCCTAAGTGTATTCCAATCTCCTTCAAATTTACATTTTCCTGCAGTATGTGCACTTAATCACATTTCTTTTTTAACATCTAGGCAGCTACATACAGTGTGAGAATCTAATTTTAGATCAGAACACTTGTGCTCAACAAACACTATGCAACAAAGAAAAAAAGGGAGCAAAATATGATGCTAAAAATAAGTCTTGTTTTTCATGTGACTGAGCAAGTTGACTGAGAAATTCTTGTTATGAATTCTATACCCATCTGTATGAAATGTTTCTCAGAGCTGAAATATATGGAATTTTTTCAGTAGGTAAACTATGTTAGATTGATATTTACTGAAATCACAGAAGCTTATATTTAGACTTTACTTACTACCCCCCTCTTTTATTTATCTTTATCAGAAAGCAGGTAAATGGGAATATAATTTCAAGGTAAGTAATCTGTAAATACAATGTAGCCATATCCCTGTGTAGAATTCCTAATAAAAACAATGGCTTGGTTTACCTTTTAAAGGAGGTAACCATTAGACATTACCCCTTAGCTTTGATTTTGCATTATAATCAACTAGTGAATAGAAGTTTCAATAGATAAGTGTTGCAGTTGTAGCTCCTCCTTGTTAGTCATCTATGCTTGAGGTGTAGAATGCTTACAACCCATTCTACTGACTGCACAGACTACTTTGTCAGGTGATCATAATTAATATTTGAATAATAACTTTACCAAGTTAATTGTAAAGAGTTGTTATTCTATACTTGGTCAATAGGGGAAACCTAGCACCTATGTCATGAAATTAAATACCTAAAATAGTCCAAGTTTATTCTTAATCCATTTATCATTATATATTATAACAATTAATTTTATTGGTTTTATTTTAAACTTTTAGTATGCCAACTGAGACTTGTATGATTGGCTCTTAAATCAACTATGCAGTCAGTTGTATTTGTTTATTTAAATATTGTTTTATAACAGTGTTCTTTAGTAAAGGTATGATCTAATTATGCAATATTATTTGTCATCAAAATTGTTTCCCTATCCTGATTCCAGCTGGTTCTAAGTATGAATTGTATCTTTGGAAGGGTAGATTTAGAGATACTTCATGATACACCTTGTCTTAGATAGTGAAATATACTAATATGTTTAATGACAGAAATCATTTCTATGCACCTTAAAATAGTTTGATTTAAATTTATATGTCCAAGGAAATAATTATGTCCTGCATTTCAAAAAATAGAAATTAATTAATGTTATATATAAACAAAACATAATGTTCACTTAGGGTTTATTACTTTATTTTATAGTCAATATTTTAAATAAAACTAAAGGAAAAGTATTTTTCAGTAAGCTGCATGTCAGCCTGTATGTCACATTGCCTTCAAAATTGAGTTAGCATGACAACCTTTTATTGAGGCATTGGAAACAAAAGGTAAAGGACTGATATGCTTAACAAAGAGCATTTTAAAGAAAACAATTTGACACACAATATAAAATCATATAAGGTCATGAACGAACTGCATAGGAAGAATATAGATAGCCAATGGAAATTTTAAAAATAATAACTGAAATAACTATCAAAATAATACATAAAATTATATCATGACTGTTATTTTGTCCGTTTCTTTTTTTATTCTGTAATTATAGCAAACATTTATGTATTAAGAAAAACATAATACCAATGAAGATGCAGTAAAATTGACACGATACTGTAGCCTGCCATTTAGTAAGCCATAGCAGCTGCTGCTATTCTTACTAAATTATTATCACAGGTAGTTTGGGTAAAGAATTGTACTAATTTGTATTAAAATATTCAGACCTTTTTAATTTCACTTCTAAAACTCTAATTTTCTCTAACTATTTTCTTTAAAATGTTCTTTGTTAATCATTTCTTTAGAAATTATTATAGATGTACACAGATATGTTCAAAAATGTTTTTCACAGCATTATTTGTACTAGTTCAAACTCAAAAAGAAACTCCCAAGACAAAAAAAGTTAATTTTAGCAAGTCTATTTCATAGATATTATTTCCTACTAGTTTTAAAGGATTATTTTAATGATAGAAAATATACAACATAAATTGAAGAAGGATATATATAATTTGATGACCTTACTTGTACAAATACACATAAATGTTAAAATTACTAGAAAACACATAGAATATTAATAATTGCTGTCTGTCCTGAACAGAATACCCAGAAATTATATTTTGCTTTTTTTAATATTTACTTTGTTGTAGTTGGATACAATACTTTCAGTTTTTTATTTATTTTTATGTGGTGCTGAGGATTGAACCCAGTGCCCTGCACATGCCAGGCAAGCACTTCACCGCTGAACCATGACCCCAACCCCATATTTTGCTTTTAAGAAATGTGTATTTTAAATAATTTTATCTGTTTTTTAAAAAGAAAAGTTATTTTCATGGCAGTGAAATTTAGATTTTTAAATTTTCTCCATTTTATGACTTTTTAGAACAACCTAGAATGAAAGTTTTTTCAAGTTTTTCATGACAATACTTGTAATAAATATTTCTTAAGAAAATGTTCTAAGTGTGTTTCTTATGATATTGTTATATTTTATTCATGCCATGAAGTCGCTTTTTCTGGCCTTAATATCCTAAGGAAAACAATTTTTGTTTTTGTTTTATGACACAAAAAACCCTGTAGTTCATTCTTTTTAATGACACATGGAATTCATAATTCCTAACAGTAGGGTCTTTGATGTTAACATGACGTTTACCGAAAAAAAAAGAAAAAAAAAGTTTATTGCAAGAAGATAAGTTATTTGGAGTAGGGGATGATTTAGCCTAGAAATTTCGAACAGTGTGTATGGGAAATTCAGGCCTGGTTTTTAAAAAAATAAACTATGCTTCTTAGCAAATAAAACTACATCATTAAAAGTATCATTTTTACAAATAATATATGGTGTATTATAATTGTATCTTTCCTATCTTTAGATATTTCTATAGTAAAATTACCTACCATTTTACTATAGAAGATAAATGCTTGAAACAGTGAATCCAATGATTGTGTCCATTTAGCTGCTCAAGAGATGTAGTTTATTCTGTATTTATGTTCCACACTGGCCTTTCATTCAGCGTTTGAACCCGTGCACTTACATAGTGTCTCGCATGGCTGGCACTGGGCTTGCGGATGCAAGTAGCCATCGTCTATGGACTTTATGGAGTTTATGCTCCTGCAGAGAACATCTATAGAAATCGTGAAACAGTCAAATCAATTAATTAATGAAAAATTATATGTGGAGACCTTGATGAAGTTAAAAGCCAAAATATAGTTGATCGTTTTTCATGTTTTGCTAACTTTACAGCTGACCTCTAATGAATGTGTCAATATATATGTGGAAATTTGAAAAATCTCAGGTTAGCCCCATGTTCCTCAAGCAGAAACAATTGAATACCATACTGTACAAAATAGAGCAAAGTCTCAAAACTAAATTATTCCCCAGATCCTTTCCTACCTCCTACTAAAGTTTAAGTCAAAGGAATTAGAAGGCCAAGCACAGTAATTAATTGATAATCCTCTGGATTCACAAACTATTTTGAATATACACTCACAAAATAACACTTTTGACCCTAAAAGGCATTTTATTCCTAAATTGTGAGAACATAATCTCTTTTATCCAAAATTCTCTTTCTCTAAAATGTTTCATCATTTGATCTCAAGCTCCTCTTCATAGTTCTGTTTTATCTCCATTCAATCCTGCTGAGTACCATTGACATTAAAGCCGTCTAAAAGAATGTGGCTCACAGCTCCATGGATGCAATTATTGTGATGTGTGTCTTCCATCCTTATCCAGTAGAAATTGTGTGTTGCCCAGGATGATTGATTTATTACTGCCTTTGTACTTGATTTTTGTCATTATTCATTATTTTCTTTGTCAAACAGACCCACACTCTTCTTCATATAACCACCCAGTCCTGTCTCTCACTAAGCAAAGTAGCTGATGGCTCTCAACATCCCACTGTGGAAGCATGTGACGATAGTACTTGGCAAAAATGGCTACTAAGAAACTATACCAGAACAGAAGTTTTTAGGAATATTTTTGGGAATCTTACTGATTACTTTCTGTAATCATTTTTAGTGATTCGCGTTGCAGACTTCATTATATTTGTTTAGTACTTTTGCTATGTTTGATCATTGAAATCTGGAAACTTTTTAAAAATATGGTTTAAAAAAATTTTATGTATGGCAACTTTTTATGTCTTTTGCTTCTTAGCTTCTCATTAATTTGGAGACTGTACATATTAAGTAGTGTTTAGTCTATCATTAACATATATTTTTCTATTTCAAATATATGTACATAAATATAATTAATAAAATATTTTATTAAATATCAACTTTTTCTTGGGCTAATTATAGCCATGTTGGTGACAACAGAGTCTGTATCAGAGCTGATTTTAAAAAATCTAACATAGTTAAAATACCTAATAGCTGAAAAAAATGGAATGTTTAATTTTTATTGTTTATTTAATTTTGTTGATTTTTAATAGGTGCTTTTGTTGTTTGTAGATGTAGCACACTCTTTATAAAGTGTATAGTTATTTTAATCTGAAATGCTAAGAAAATGCACTATTAAAGACTAAATAAGATGTAATTTTCAATAACTTTATGAAAAAAAATCTAAGCATTTCTTTGTGGTGAAGTGATATAATTATAACAATAAAACTTTTTAAAAATAATATCTTTTATCTCTCCTTGTATGATTTATGACTGTCTTCTCAGTAAGGAATAAAATGAAGCTTGTAGTTAAAATCAGCAAACTGGTGAGCAATTCTAGTAAACGGTGCAAATAAGAACACATCTTAGTTCTTGATTTTATTGGATTTATCACTCAGTAAATGTGATTTTATGTTGTCCAATGCCTTACTATGAGAATACATGGGAGGTTAGGGAGGTTTTCTGGTTCCCATGTACCAGCTAATGGATTTTAGTGCAAGACACAATGGATCTTGAATTGCTTGTAACATAGCTGCCAATGGAAGTATGGAAAGTGGATGGCAATAGGGGTATTTTTGGATTTGAATCATGTTTGAGATAAGGACATTCTGAATATAAGTCATAATTCTAAGTTTAGACCCTTTGCATAAAGAGGAATTGCACGGAAGGCAATTTACATATATTATATTAGTGTGCTTGCAGATTAACCATACCTGGTATGTGCAATGCCCAACAAGAGACATTTTAAAACTAAAATTTCACTCCCCATGTCTACTTATAGAGTTCTAGGGCAGAGACCACAGCTCGCTTCTCTTGTTAGGAAATCTTGTGGCAGTTCCCCCAGCACTTCTTACAGGCTTCTGGAAGACAGCTTCTGTGCAGGTGACAGCCCAGTGCAAGATTATGAGATTCATTCAGCCAGATGTAGAAACCATCCTGGCTTAATAGTCTTATCCTCACAGGAGTTACCTCCTGTTCCAGCTCTCCAGGCAGTTCCAAGAACCCAAGGGGACACTGGAAATTACAGGAGTCTACCCTCAGAATCCCTGAATTTATCTTCTTACATGAATTTGGTATTTTACCAATTTTTCAGTTGCAGAAGCAATTTATCAATCAGAGGTCATTTTTACCATAAACTGTGTTGCCTAGGAACATATAGTTAGCTGTTTTATCTTTATCAGGTTGCTAAGGGACCAGAGTTAGTTAGCTGACTCAAGGTCTGTTTATTTTTAGCAGAAGAGGAAGGGGTATTTGTAAGCATTTATAAATCTAACCAAGTATTTTCTGACAAAAAAAAAAAAAATCTGATTCCTTAGAATGATTTGGTGGCTTGCCAAAATATTCACAGCTAGTAAGTGGCAAAAGAAGAATTCACACAAGTCTATCTGAGCCTAAAATGTCTGATTTCCTACTGCACTACAGTAAAAAGGAGAAATTTTTGGTTGGTCTTTGTTATCTTAGCAGCAGTGTGTTTAGGCTATTAATAAATACCTTCAAAAGAAATATTCATGCATTTTTTTTAGAAAGAACAATGCTTACTAGTATTTTTTTTAATTGTCATCATTTGTGTAATGTTTAATAATACTTAATTTGATCCTTCAAGAGAAAAGATCTTAGTTTATTCCATTTTGGCCTAAGGTATCTGATCTGATCATTGATCAAAGAATCCATCTGTTGTGTGTGATCAGCTTAGACTAAGATAATGACAGAGCTTTGTGGGGTATTTCAATGGGCAATAATGTACTAGATATAAGTACAATTCATACTTTCTTAGAAAAAGGACCTAATAGAAGCATGAAATGGTAAGTGATTTTTTTTTTGAAGGAGAATATATATATATACAAATGACCTCAGGTAAGTAACAAAATTGAAGATTCTTTTTTGATGTTGACTAGAAATTTTTAGGGAAAAAAAATTGCTTTAGTTTCATTTGGATCTTTTTTAACTGGCTGGTGTTTGAATTTCTGGCACGATGAAAAGAATAAATCAACTATCTTCCTGCCTTTCTATCCTTGACAATTTCTTTTTTCTCCATTTTTGAGTATAAATAGTTTGATTCATGTATCAAAAAGCAACAACAAAGGTCTCAATCTTGAAATCTCCTTCACTTCTAGTAGTCTTGCTCTTTTAATTTCCTGCTTATTGTCTATTGGACATCCTCCACCACAGCCAATTCTTTGTTCTGTCTTTCCTCACAACAGGGCAGCTCTGGGTGTTTTCAGTCCTAATCTAAATGAATAATAGGAAGGGAAGGAGGGGAAGGAAAGATTTTTGTCAACCATTAATTTTGGTAATTTGCACAAAAAAAGGGGGGATCTGGGGTGCTATTTTAAAGATATACCCACAAATAACTTCATAAATTTTTCTGGTTGGGGAGTTTTTCATCTAATGTGGTTCTAGGCATTGCCCATGAAACTGAAGAAAACTATATATAATTAGTACATATAAAGCACATGGATTTAAAAAATATATATCTGGAAATTTCAAAAATGTGATTTTCAATATAATTGAGAACACCTTTTAGAATTATGAAGAAAGTAAAAATAAACAAGCATAGCATTTTTAAAAATCTGATCATAATATCCCTGCTATTATTTGATATTCATATGTTCAAATTCTAAAAAATGTATATCAAAATATGGTGATCATACTATCAAGTAAGACAGATCATTTGTTGCCATGAATCACTATTCTAAAATAAATGTGTCAGATACTATGGTTTGTTTAATATTTTGAAATGGGAACATCACTAGCAGTTTTGTTCATTTGGGCCACAGCTGTGACATCTATTTGCATGTTTACCAAATAGTTACTGAATAACACATGCCTAAGAAAACTAAGCTTTTGTGAAAGCTTGTTAATATTTTCAGCCCTCAACTATACTTAGAGCTCACAATGGGCTTTTTGCAAAGAAGCCTGAATTTTTGGCAACCCATGATAAATATTAGCCAATTGCTTTAACCATCTGCAAATAAAGGTGCATTAGACAAGAATAACTCCTTAACCATCAGAGTTGTATAATTAACTCAGAGACACCTATGCACAGTTCCTTCTACAAACATATCACAATGTAATACACTGAAAAAAAAATGATAAAGGATTGTTTAAAGAGCTTTTTTGATCTGATGTGCTAGTAAAGCTAAAGATGAAAGAGCCTGAGCTGATTATTGATTATCTTTTACAGAGACTCACGTTGAGACATGTTAACAGTAACCAATGTCTAGATGAACCTTCTGAAGAAGACAAAATGGTGCCTACCATGCAGGACTGTAGTGGAAGCAGATCCCAACAATGGCTGCTAAGAAACATGACCCTGGGGGCATGAAGACTATTTCCCCCAAGCCATCAAAGTGTCTATACTTTCGGTTTTCCATTATTTCAATGAGGGGAAAATAATAATTGCTGAAATGAAAATTTTAAAAATCCTTTTAGTATTCTAAAACATAGTTGTTTATAATTCATTTTTAGGAATGTTGGATTATTTCCCTACTAAAATTTGTATCTCATTGAAGAAGCACATAAAAAACATAAATAATAGCCAAGTGTTATTAAGCTATGGAACAACTTGAAAAACAAATTGTGTTTGTTTTTAAAAAAAAAAAAAATCTTACTGCCCTCATGTCACAAGGTTAATGGGAGGTTAATTTATTTTTTGCTGTCATAGTGATTGAGAGAGATATAATGTAAATGCCTTACAAAATATCTTCATTATGAAATATTATCAATTGCTTTATATATTCACTCTTTGTACTGGACCTTCATAGGAACATGTTGAATTTCTATGTCAACAAATATGATCACAAATTATTTCTGAGCATCGAATTCATTGTACAAAATATCAGGTTCCACATTTTGTACTAGGAAAAAAACATTAAATTGGATATTGAATTCATAGTCTTTACAAAAACATCACATTTAAACAAAAAAAGAAGAATTTGAAAATTCGCTTTAAATAGGAAATGCAAATTCAAATGAAGCAAGCAGAAATTAGCCAGATATTGAGGAGAATGATGGAGGGAAATGGAAACAGTCCTTGGAAGAGACATGGCGGCTGGGTTGCAATCATTCCTAACACAGGCTGAAGACAAACAATTCCATGGCACAAACTAAATCTGTAGCCATGTCCCTATCTCCACAAACAACATCCCCTTCCTCTTTAGAGTCTGTGGCTTATCACACTGTACAGAATTGTAGGACCAAATTAGAGTTATAGACTTAATCTTAAATTCTTTCACATTTAAAAATTTTAGTTTAATCACTACTATAGTTCTAATTTTTAACTTTAATAAAATGAATGCACTGCTATTAGAATTTCATTGTTATGCCATCATACTAACATTTTCATCACCAGGGGACTGAACTCTATACATTCATTAAGCTTTTATTTTAATTAAACTGCTAGATATCAATTACTATAAATCATAACCCACATAATTAGAGAAGCTTTACATGTTCTTCATCTTAAAGCAGTTTGTGTTCAAGATACATAAGCAATAGGAAAAAAAGGGGGAGAAATATCAATCAGTGAGATTCTTACTAATAAGTTTCTGTATCTGACATTATTTTCAGTGCCCATAAATTTGTTTCACACAAGTGTTTTATTTGTGATAAATGCATTGAGCAGCTCAAAATAATTGGGAGCTGGGAGTGGGGCAGAGGATGGGAGACATGTCTTCTGAAGCAGAAGATTCCAATTTTTTGCCCTCATCTTTTCCGTAAAAGCTCTTAAAGAAACTATATTATGGTTGCATACAACTTCCCCCATGCACCTACAATCTTTTATAATGAAAATACAAACATTTTCTGAAAGTTAGTAAGTTCTTGAATGGTTTTCATAGGTAGCATTCCTTCTTCTGTTGACTTTGTATTGGTTCAATTCTAGAGAAGGAATATGCAAGGTGGAGCATTTCAGATTTGCTCCTAAAAATGTAGACATCCACACTTGGAGGTCTTTGTAAATCTCTCAGTTTTCTAAAATTGTAAGAAAAAGTTTGAATGTCAGAGCATTTTTTTTAAGGATAGACTCTGTAGTTGACAACAAATTTAGAAAGGCAGATCTCACTGCCAGAGGCAGTGAACCACTTCCTTAAATTGATCATGGCCTCTCAAGTCAGCTGAGGCCTGACAACAATCCCATTTCCTATTTCTGACACTCCCCCCCCCCATTTTCTACTTGTCCTGGCTAAAATGCATTGTCCCTTAAAATTGAAAAGCTTAAATTATTTTTCTTTTTCTTTCTTTTTTTTTTTTTGCCCATGGTAATTATACATAAGAGTGAGAATCACTATGTCACATTTGTACATGTACATAACATAATTGATCTATCTCATTCCCCACTCCTGCCTCCTGAACTTGCTGTACTCTAGTGATCTCTCTGCTATTATTACCATTATTATTCTTTTAATTAGTACATTATAATTGCATATATAAAACAGATTCATTGTGGTATATTCATACATGAACATATCATACTTTGATGGACATCATTCCTCAGTACTTTCCCATTTTCCTCCCAGCCCCTTGATCTTTCTCTACTTTATTCATCTCCCTTCTGTTTCATGAGAACTCCTTTTTAAAAGTTTTATTTTTCTCTAGCATCCACAAATAAGAAAAAACATTTGATGCTTGATTTTCTGAGTCTGGCTTATTTCACTTAGCATGAGGTTCTCCAGCATCCATTTATCAGCAAATGACTTAATTTCATTCTTTTTTTTTAAATTCCATTTTTATTTACTCCTGAGTAAAACTCCATTCTCTTTTTATATACCACATTTTCTTTATTCATTCATCTGTTGACAGGGAGCTAGGATGATTCTATAACTTGGCTATTATTAATTGCACTACTATAAACATTGATATACACATATCATCATAGCATGCTGATTTTAGTCCTCTGGGTTAAATACAGAATAGTGGGATAGCTGGGTTATATGGTGGTTCCTAGTCATTCTGGAGGTATTTCCAGATAGTTTTTCAACTAATTTGCAGTGGTCATACTAATTTGCAGTCCCACCTACATTGTATAAATTTGCATTTTCCCCAAATCCTACCAGTACTGACTGATATTTGAGTTATTTATTATTGTCATTCTAATTGGAGTGGGATGAAATTTCAGTGTGGCTGTGACACACATTTCCCGGATCACTACAGATGGTTAAATTTTGTCACATATTTGTTGACTATTTGCATTTATTCTTCTGAGAAATGTCTATTTAGATCAATTGCACATTTATTGATTGAGATATTTGGTAGTGTTTTTTGTTTAAGTTTTAGGGGTTCTTTATATATTTTGAATATTAATACTGTGTCAGAGGAGTAACTGACAAATGTTCTTTTATATATCTCCCACTTACTTTTGATTTTGTTAATCAAAAGTTATATGTTGGATAGTTAATAATTAATGACAAATTTTTAAAAATACAATTACTTCATGTAAGCTGAATTTGAAGTATTTCAACAGCACTTTAAATGATTGAAAGCTTGTTATTGTCCTAGTGAAAATACAAGAAAACCTAAACCTGCATGAATTTTAAGCTAAGGAAGAATTTTCAAAGACTATTCAGATGGTTTGAACACATACCATGGTAGTGCCTCACAACAACAAAAAAAAAAGACATAAAATATTATAAAACATCCCAAACCAGAAAGCAATGAAAACATTCAATTTTTATTTCAAAAATATTTTCATATACTATAGAAAATTTAAAACATGATTGGATTTCCAAAGCATTCCTTATTTCAATCCTCCCACTTCCATGGTCTTTCTCATCTGAGTTAATACAACTCCAAACTTCTAGATGCTCATGTCAAAAATCTAAAATCAAATTCATTTGATGCTACCTTTAAAATATCCAGGCATCAATGTTATCCCACCATATCCACTGTGAGTCACTGACTTCATACTTTTTATTTGCAACGTGCTTATAATTTGGTTCCCTACTTTTGCCATTCCTTGTCTTGGTCTTTTCTCAATGTAACAGACATAGTGATTCTGTCAAATACTCATGTGAATGTGTCATTTCCCTGCACCCAATCTTCCAATGATTTTTCATTTCTCCTTAGAGACCTTCAAGGTACTTCATGATGACAGCCCTCTCCATAGACCCTCAGGTTCCTTAGATACGAACTTTCTCTCTCTCTCTCTCTCTCTCTCTCTCTCTCTCTCTCTCTCTCTCTCTCTCTCTTCCTCCTCTCTCCCCACCCCCACCTTATTTCATCATTTCCTTTCCTTTTTCTTTTCATCCAAATAATTTGCAAAACATCCCATTTCTCTTATCGGGGTTCCTGCCCCTGCCATAAAGCCAGAGCATCTGGTGTGCACACTCCTGTTCCAGCACACAGCCCTCCCAGGGTGGAGGAGGGGGGAATCTTACAGTTTAGATTTTCTTTTAGACATTAAAGGGGAAAATTCTTTTTTTTTTCTTTTTTTTAAGTATAGAATTCTTTCCCCTTTTAAAGTCACAAATGCTTAGCAGTATACTTTAACCTGGATTTTTTTTTTT